CCAGGCGGGTCTCGAATCCGCGGGCTCAGGCAATTCACTCACCTTAGCCTCCCAAAGGCACGGGATTACAGGCTGAGCCACCGAGCCCGGCTAGTCAAGTCTTTTTACCAGACAGGTAATGAGTAAAAGGAAATGATATTTAAATGAGCCTTTAATAATGTTGGTAACCTAAAGCTATTTTGTTGTAATAGAGGTCTCATCAGAGAATCAACAAACCCAAAATTCCAAAAAGGAGCATTTGCTCAGTTCTATGTCATCTGAAGCTATCTGGCAAAACTACTCCTTAGATGAAATTGAGAGGACCTTTTATCAAGAGGTAAGGATGTTTCCTAAAACCACAGTTATCTAAAATGTGACACAACAAAGCAGACAACTATGGAAAACTATTAGGTCTAGACATAATTTCTAAAATTTGTTTTGATCCTACCTACATCTTCTCAAATCCTGAGACCTTCTTCATCTCTTAATAACAGCAGTACATTGATAATAGTGATGGTGATGAGAAATAATTTTAAGTACATCCTTTGTGGTATGCACAAAATGATACAGCTTTATTGAGTAACATAAAGGAAAATTTGAATAAATGAAGAAGTCTTTTTAAATTATTGACTGTTTGCTCTCCCTAACCATACCTGAATATATGGGGTTTTTTTGGAAATATTATAATAGAGAACTTATTCTACACATTAAGATACTTTATAATGGTCTAATAGTTAAGACAGTATGACACTGGAGCAGCAACAGACATTCAAATTGATCTAAAAGGATAGTTGGATAGCTAACCAATTTTTTTGTTTGTTTGTTTGAGTTGAAGTCTCACTCTGTCGCCCAGGCTGGAGTGCAGAAGTATGCTCACAGCCACCGCAGCCTCAACCTGCTGGGCTCAGGTGATCCTTCCACCCTGGACTTCCAAGTAGCTGAAACTACAGGTGTGCGCTACCACACCTCACTAATTTTTTGTAGAGATGAAGTCTCACCAAGTTGCCTAGGCTGGTCTTAGGCAACCCATCACCTCAACCTTCCAAAGTACTGGGATTATAGGCGTGAGCCACCGTAACTGGCCAATTAACCAATATTTATATGTGAGTTTGGCCTGTGATATGAGGCATTTCATAAATGGATTATTCAGTAATTATTATTGAGATAATTTGGGGAGTAATTATTTGGGAGAGAAAAAAGCTTATAACTTTCTACTCTTCACCCAAAATAAATTCTATATGCATTAACTGTTTAAATTTAAGTAATATGTGTGAAAAAATTTTAATCTTGAAATTTAGAATCTTTCTTAAGCATGAAGTAAAGCCCATAAGCCACAAGAAAAAGACTGATGAGTTTAACTACAGAAAAATTAAAAAGGTTTTATACAGCAAAACTTTGTATAAACATATGATAAACTTGGCAAAATATATGCAACGTAAATGATAGATAAAATACTATACCTAGCATACGTAAAACTTTTACAAATTAGTAATATAAAATTTTCAGTAGAAAAATATCAATGAGTAAAAAAATAACAAAGACCAGTGTTGATAAGGGTATTTGAGAAAGAGCACTTTAATGACTGTGGGTAAATTGATAAATTTTGTTTTCTCTAATTGTTGTTAATTACTTTATTGTTTTCATAAAAACATGGCCATTACAAAATCCATGACCATTACAAAAAATGTAAGCAATTCTAAAAAGTACAAAGAAGAAAGTAATTATTCACAATCCACTACCCAGAAATAATCAAAGACAACATTTGGTGAACATAATTCTAG